GTGAAGGTGTTCTATGGTAAAAGAAGGTGTTGTATAATTTTAGATCCAGCAAACTCTTATCATCTCTATACCTTGGTGAATACAAAGTTTCCACCTTTATGCTCCTTATGTTTATACTAGCCTCTATCTCTGCACTTTCTTCAAGCAATGCATGGAATTGTTACGATTTGGAGTCCTTTTGGTGTTAGGGTTTAACATTTTGCTCGTTTGAGCCCAAGGAATGGATAAAGTTATAAATTTTATCCATGCAAGACTTTAGAAGATTCAAATCTAAGCTTTTGAGCTTTAGACTTAAGGGTTTAAGGATCTAAGGAAAAGTTTATTCATACGAGATTTGTGGCGTGACAAGGTTGAGACTCACGGTGCAATTCTAAGGAAAATCGTGACTATTTTGTCGTCTAGTGGCCATTGCGCGATCAGGAGTTGGCCACAACACGTTGACCATTGACTTTTGGTCAAACTTGTTGGGATTTGAGCTTTAGTCTGATATTTGACCTCTATTTAGTTATAGTCGGTTCGTGATAGATGTGTTTTCTCTTGTGTCTGTAAGACTTCTACTTTTAGCTTCAGGTGAGTCTTCTCACTATATTAGTTATGTCATGACTGGATCTTCTTTTTGTTGGATGCATGTATAATACTATGATATGTTAGAAAGCTTAGTTAGACCAGTAGGGTCTTGATTATGGTTGTGGTTTCTGTCACACCCCCAAACAAGGATAGCGGAAATGTCTTAGGGTGGATGACTTCATGAATCGTATCACAACAATATGTATAATAGTGATCAAAGCAAAACACAACAATCATATTTATAATTGAAAGAGTTACATTGTTGTAAGAGTTGTATGTTTCAAAACCAATTACAATATGATGATGATTAGATTTGTTTGACGCCTTAGCGTCCCATCCTCAAAAGCTTGTAGTTACCTGCTTTAATGATTTCCTGAGAATACAAGTAGTTTTGAAAAGCGTCAACAATTAAGTTGGTGAGTTCATAAGAGTTTGTATGAAGAATATTAAGCCTTTCCTTGTAAAATGATAGTGCTTGTTTCCAGAAAATCCAATATTTTCCTTAAAAATGAGTTGTTGTCTTAGAAACCCTAAGACCGAAATGGATAAGTATTTATATACTTAAAATAGTAATATGTAGTTTCAATCTATATAAAACCATTTGAATGTATGTGTAACGCCCGTAGAGCCGTGCTAGTCAATTTAGAGATAATAGGGGTCGAAAACGACTTTTTGACAAAAGATTATTTAAAATAAATAATCTTAACCAAGTTGTAGAATAAGTCTCAAGGGTTCCGTACATATAAAGAACGTTGAAATCCGAGTTATAACGAAGAAGTTATGGTCCGTCGAAGTTTTATGGCAAAACCGACACGACACCGGGAGACGTAAATAGTGAATTTACGATGGAGGACTTTTTAGCCTTAGAAATCTAAACAAAAGTTGTAGTATACGTTAAACCGAGAACATAAAAAAAAAGAACGCCCAAATCTGACTTCGTATGAGGAAGTTATGAATTTTCTAAGATTTGGCTTAGTAGTGCACAACCCGAAACTCGAATTTTAGATCGAGCGGTTTTTGGCCTACGCGACCTAAATGAGAATTGAAGATATCATTAATAGGAACTCAACGGTAAAAAGACAGACGAAAACAGAGTCCGTATGTAGAAGTTATGAATTTTACGCGGACATTTAACATTATAATTTCCTCGTACTGTTAAATTTAAGATCGGTAGACAATTAGCCGACGGAGTCAAAATGAAAGTTGTAGATCTTATTTTTACCTACGCGTGGATATAAAGAACGTCAAAAACGAAGGTCGTATGTGAAAGTTACGGATTTTAGAAGTCGGAAGTGTGCTGTGCAAAAATGGATGATGTGGCACAATCTTGGCCATTGCTTTCTCCCCAAGTCTTGCCACTAGATGGTGACATGTGGCACCAAGTTCAGCCATTTTTCACCCTATAAATAGAACCTCTCTCACCCTCATTTTCTTCACACCTTTCCCATTCTTTCTTCTCTTTACTCTCTCTCTCTAGAACCTCTCTCTAGCCCCGAACCCCCCCCCCCTCCCCGAAAAGCCTAGGGAACCTCCCTAGCACGAGGCGGAAGCCCCGGAGTGCTCGACGGCTCCGAGAAGAAGAGCTTTTCGGCTCGGGAACGCTGCTCCAAGCAAAGCCCGGTTTTCTATAAAACCCGCTGTAAGTGAGCTACGCCTACGCTATTTTTAATATAGCTTTTATTTAATTATAGTAACGTTATTAGGAACTTATAATAAGTACTTGGGCTATTATTATGGGTTATATAAGTATTGTTTAGCGCATATATATCAGTAATAATAGCTAGACTATTAATTAGTCCCGGCGAATAATAGACTAAACTCTAGTGGTAATAATACTAGGTTTCGTCGAAGGAAATTGTTTTTTTAAGAAGCGAAGCGTTGTCTGAGTTCGGAATCACCACCTTATAAAGTGAGTGCATAGTTACTTTTCATATTACACATAGATATGAAGTATTTTATATAAACTACGTGTTATGTGTGCATATTATCTGTATACTTGCTATCTATGCTGAATGAACGATTTTATACAAGTTTTATATGATTTAAACTGTATATGTATTTATATCTACATAATATGTTGGGTAAAACATGGGTAGATGAAATATGATTTGGATGATGAGTTGATAGGTGATATAGACCATGAGGTAAGGGTGAGAGGTGGACGATGTGAGAAGCCTTGTTCCCAAATGATGGCCCCGTCATCTAGCAGAGTATGGATGACAACCACAGACTATTCTAGACAATCCAGTGGAACACTAGCAGGCTCGCAATTTGTAGGTGTTGTGAACGATGTGTTCACCCGGTGTACTCTAAACCCTGGCGATCATGCAGACTTGGTGCCTAAACCTTGGCGATCATGCAGACTTGGTGCCAAAGCCCTGGCGACTATGCGGACTTAGTACCTGTCGTATAAACCTTGGTGACTATGCAGACTTAGTGCCAAAGCCCTGGTGACTATGCGGACTTAGTGGCTGTTGTATAAACCTTGGTGACTATGCAGACTTAGTACCTAAACCCCGGTGACGATGGACTTCGTGCCGATTCCTTAGGATGATCCTTAGGAATGAATGAACGAGGAATAGTTTATTCTTATGGTAGATCCTTAAGAGTAAAGAAGATAATGGGGATGGGTAATTGGGTTGATTGTTTGATGTTTAAACATAATAATTATATTATTGTGGGTTGAAAACCCTATGTACTCACCAGGTTTCCCAACCTGACCCACTCAAGCTTATTTGTATCACAGGTGTCAATATGAAGCTACTTTACACTGAGAGATTTAAAAGAGATGTAGATCACTAGTGTAAATGAATGTAAGTTTTGTTTATGCTTATGTTTCTGTATTGACGATGACATCCCAAATGTTTTAAAATTAATAAAAATACATTTCTTCGGAAATGCTTTGATAATGTATTTATCATGTTTTACTGGGAACTAATTCTGCAACATTTTTATTAAAAGAAGTACTCTGATTTTTATAAAACATAAACAAAATCGGTCTTTTCTGGCCGTGAAAATGGGGATGTCACAGTATGTTTTCCCGTAAACTAAATGTATCGATGATTCCCCATGTGAGTTATTATAACCGTGCTAAAACATAGATGACCTGTTACGACGTTCTTTAGGCGTCGGAATGTTAGACATTTTTCACCCCAGACCTGTCGGTCTAGCTGTAGCAAGCAGCTTAGGTGCGGGATTGTCAGTCCCGTATAGATCTATACACAAGTATCACGCTCTCTTACGGGAGATTCTGGTTATAATACATGACTTTTGTAGGTACTCTGGTAGGTACGATGAATACTTTGTCTCACAAAATTGATTCAACGCGTTTACGTTTTGTTGTAATGAAAACCTTTGTATGTATAATTATCACCTTTTCCATGATAAATAAATAGTATAAAATAATTATATAAATCTTTATATAATTATCTGTTTTGTTCAAAAATGTTACAATAGTGTTAATGTCCCATAAACTATACTTATTATAGTTTATTATAATATTTCATTTGTACCTATATATAGAGAGAGGCTAACATGCTTAGATATTCATAAATAACAATCATTTGACATCTAACATCAATAATGAGTTTTTAGTATGAAAATGTTCATTTTTCTAGTTTTTGACTTTTTACGTCACAAAACGGTAAATAGTGAAATATAAACTATGTGAAACTTATTTTTACCTTTTTGTGATATTTAAGTCAAGTTAACTTTATATGTTTAAAACAACATATTTTTGGTTAAAACCCACAAAAATGGTACCATAACCTAGTCATGGCCATTTTTGTTAGAAAACTCACTTTTACATAAAATGATAGATTTTTAACACTACTAGAAAAACAGCCTTTTATGACGCGCAATGTGTGTCGTAAAATGTTCAGACGACGCGCAAATGTGTGTCAAGGAAGGTCCTGTCATAACGAGAGACGACACGCTTTTGTGCGTCGTCTGTTTACGATGCGCATTTACGATGCGCATTTATGACACGCATTTACGATGCGCATTTACGATGTGCATTTATGACACGCATTTACGACGCGCAGTTATGACACGCAATACGTATCAAGGAATGCCCTGTCATAAAGGAAGACGACATGCATTTGTGTGTCGTAACCTTACGACGCACGTGTTTATGACACGCAATGCGTATCAAGGAAGCCCCTGTCATAAAGGAAGACGACCCACATTTTTGCGTGTCATAGTTCTAAATGTTTTTAAAATTATATATTTTTGATAGATTTACTAAATTTCAAATTAAATAACACATTAAAAGTATCATAATACAATATAAAATACCATAAACAATAAAGATAACTCATTGCATTAATATGTAAAATACAAATAATCATTCCAATAGTAAGTAAATGTAACACATTGCTAATATTGCATAATATTTATTATAGAAAACAAAACATGTACAACATTAAAAGAAACCCATGACTAAATTCTCCTTTCACAATTTCTTTTCTAAGAGAATAACCTGAATGCAGGAACTTTGAGAGGCAGCAGGGCATGGAAGGAGGTTGCTAGAGCTGTCAGAACCTGCACAGGGCAAATCGGTAACTTAACATGCAATACAATACAAGATGATATGATAGACAAAAGAGAAAAGAAAAAAGTGAATACACACCTGAAAGTTTTCACCTTCAAAAACCGGATCAAGGGTACTAAGGTCAAGCAGCCAATCAATGAATAACTTGAAATACGGTCTGGGGTTGAATGATGTTTTCTTCTCTTCTGCATCCTTTTGAATGAATAACTATGCATTCATTAAACATATATATATATATATATACACACACACACACACACTAATAGTAGGACTAAGAATCAAGACTGAAAAGAAAGTCTAGATGATGGTATACCTTTCTTTTTCTTCTCATTCCATATGTCATTTCAACCGATAAGTCTTCAAAGTTTGCTCCAAGGAAATCCTCTTGTCTCAACTTCTTTTTTGGTGGCATTCTGGCACAATACACAAACTTTATAAATGTTATTTTAGATAGTATCATATCAATTATCAATATAATCCAAGGTTGCATAAAGAAGGCATGTTTAAAACCAAATAATGAATTGAAAAGCAATAGAAAATGACAATAATTACCTTTCATGGTTGTGATTATTTACTTACTTTATTTACACCATCATTCCCTTCTAACATAAGGTAGTACTTCAATGCGGATTCATGGTGCTTTACAATCATTAATGAGTCAGCAGCTTCAATAATTAAGTAAGAATAATCATTTACAGTCTCATGTGTGAACACTGTTGGATTAGGTGTCTAAGCCCATAACTATTATTGGTATGTATTCGACCCGAGAGTAGCATGGTCCATTTGGGTTGCATATCATCAGGACAATTTGTTAGGATGGACTTTTGAGAGAAGAGGTTATATATGATTTATTAATATATTATAAGTTCTAATATATTAATATGAAATCATATGTTCTAATTAGTATTGATCAATAATTAATTTGGAATTAATTTAGTGATCAAAAGAGACTAATTAAAACTATGGGGACTGATTATGGTAATTAGTTATATTTTTATGTGTTGGGCTTATGATCCATGTTGGACCAAGTTTATGTATGGATACATAAAGAGTTGGGCCACATGAACCATGGATCATAAGATCCATGGATATGGGTTTGGGTTATACCCATGACTCTTAGAATTCAACACATATAAATACATATGTTATGACCTAAAAACCGCCACCCTTAGAGTGTGTGCATGTTCTTGGAGTTCATGAAGGTTTTAGAGTGCATGGAGATTCTCTCTCAAGTCCTACCTTTGTCCTTGATGTAACGTCCCGATTCTCAGGTATTATTAATATTAAATCTTTTGAGGTTTCAGGTTTACTCGACGAGTTGGTCTCCCTACTCGTCGAGTAGTAGCGGGTTGGTCCGTGAAGTTTAATGACCTACTCGTCGAGTCTAGAAGGGGACTCGACGAGTAGGAGCTGGCAGATAAAACCCTAAATCCCGGGGTTGTGCACCCTATTTAAGAAATCATAAGCCTCCCTTTCCCTCTGGACAGTCCTTTGAGAGTCTAGAAAACCCTAATTCGTGTGGTGCTTCTTCCTTGGGTGTTTTAAGCTTTGGAGAGTGGATCTTGGAGGAGAAGAGCTTGGAGGGCAAGAGGCTAGGAGAAAGGAAGCAGAAAGTTACCTCAGTTTAGCATCATTGAAGGTATTAAGTCGCCACCTTCACTTCATTTTCCTTCTAGATCTCTTGTAGTTGAGATTTAGGGTTTTTATAGCTTGATTGAGAGGTTTATGTGGGATATGAGCTAGATCTGAATTTGTAACTTCAGATCTGGACCCTCCTTGGGTTTTAGAGTCATAAAGCTCTGAGCTTGGCCTTGAATGAAGCTTCCTTGAGTTTGAAACCCCATTATGAGATTGAATTTGTCCTTAAGAGCCTTTTTAGCCATGCATGCACGTAAAGTTTGCAACTTTACGTGAAAAGTATGCCTTAGAAGCTTGGATCTATAATTTGGAGCCACTGCATGGCTTAAAAGAGTCTGTATGGCTTAAGGACTGTAGGGACTCGGCAAGTCGCAAGGTCGACTCGGCGAGTCATATGAAGATAGGCATGGACTCGACGAGTTGGATGAACAACTCGGCGAGTCCGGTGAAGATTGTCGTAGACTCGACGAGTTGCAGGAACAACTCGGCGAGTCGGTTAAAGTTTTCCCTATCTGAGGATGCATGTTATCTTGTCGAGTTGCAAGGAGGGAAAACTCGACTGGTGGTCTTGAATTTCGATCAAACCTTTGGAACCCGACGAGTCACCTCGGTGACTCGGAGAGTGGGCAATATTCCGAGAAACTCGGCGAGTCACTAGAAGTACTCGGCGAGTTAGGGTCAACATGGACTGTTGACTTGACCTTCACTGAGGTTGACCAGGGTTGACTTTGGGGGTAATGAATGGTTATTGTATGACACTTTTAGGCAGTTGAGTTGGAGCAGCATGTGGGGCATATTTGGTCGCAAAGTGTCAGTTCAGCATTCGTGACAGGTGAGTCTTCTCACCATGCCTATGGGTCTAAGGCACCAAGGCCGGCTCATTATGTGATTATGTTATATGTGCTAGTCCTTCTGTGATTTGATATGATTTGTGATTGTGTGTTTCGCATGAAAGACCTCGGGGGGAGCCCGTGGCATTGGTTATAAGACCATGTGGGGTAGCCCATGGCATTCCTAGGTGAAGACCATGTGGGGTAGCCCATGGCATTGGACATAAGACCATGTGGGGTAGCCCATGGCAGTCCTAGGTAAAGACCATGTGGGGTAGCCCATGGCATTCTTGCTGAATCGTATTACATGATATCTGTGGTATGTTTATAGCTTTATCTGCTATCAGAATATGTGTATGTGATTGTGTGTGGTATGCTCTGGGAAACTCACTAAGCATTTCGCGTACAGGCTGTTGATTTGTTTTAGGTACTTCTGAGCCCAAGGGCAAGGGCAAGGCGTGATGACGTGGCGTGCACTCTATCTCTTTTTTTGATTGTTTGGGACCCTCTGATGATTTAAAAAAAAGAGAAAAGCAATGATGTAATAAATGTGATTTGGAAAACAAATGTTTTGGGAATCTATGGTTTATGAGGATGGTTTGGTTAATTGAAAATGAAAAAAAAAATTGTAAAAATTGGGTCATTACACTTGATGTGTTGTAACTTCATTTGAGGCTTCCACACTATTGGGGCTAAGTTCTTAAGGCCAAATACATCAAGACTTCCAGCCACACAAAAAGGTATGTTACAATATCTAGTATTTTATGTAGTTTGTATGACAATTGCATGCTAGCTATAGGTTCAATACCTTGGAAACCATTTGCATGTATAATTAATGAAAACATAGATCCAAGGTATTTACGGTTGTATGTGCACCATAGGATGTTGTATTATACCAAAACCCAACAGTGGTATCAGAGCCAAGGCTTGTTTTCATGTTATACTTGCTGAAATGGCTGAAAAATCGAAAATTTTGGCTGTCTGGGCATTGGACTCGCCGAGTCCACTGATGGACTCGTCGAGTCCATGAATAAATTCATCCAACTCGTCGAGTTGGTTCATGCACTCGACGAGTTGGATCCCCTGATAGCATATTTTCGACTTTTAAGGCTGGAATTGGACTAGAAACATTACCCTAAGCTGTTTTTGGTCTTGTAAACCTGTTTTTGATGTGGTAATGTTCATGCTAAACCAATTTCAAAGATAATTGTCAATAGATTCATGTTTTGTATTAGTTTAATGGTTAGGCTAATTTCATGAAAATTGTTTGACTTGAATTATCTTGTTCTTATGAGTTAGTTTAGATTAATAGAAAAGTTATGTGATAATTTGTTTTCAATCCATATTAATCTTAAAGTTTCTCATGAAATGTGTTTTTGTAACTTGTCCTCAAGTTATATGAAAAGTCACATTTATGATTCTTTAAAACTCATAAGATTTCCATAAGTTAGGAAAAATGAAGAGTCTTATTTTCTCGAATGATTTTAAAGTTTTCCATAACTTGTCCTCAAGTTATGGAACTTGAAGAGTTTATTCATTAAACTACTTTAAACTCATAGGTTATGAAAATGAAGAGTTTATTTTTCCTTAAATGTTTTTTAAGTCTTCCATAACTTGTCCTCAAGTTATGGAACTTGAAGAGTTTTCATTAAAACTACTTTAAATTCATAAGTTATGGAATTGAAAAAGTTTTTGAATTGTTCAAAACTTGCCTCAAGTTTTGGAATTTGTAAAGTTTCCCCCCATGAATACTTTAGTTCCAAGTTAAACCCTTAGAATTTTAATAGTTTAAAATTCAACCCTTATACTATTATAATATTATAGGTTTAATATATATATATATATATATATATATATATATATATATATATATATATATATATATAAGAGTAAAAGTCAGTCTTACCATTAGTAGGCCTCATTCACGAAGCCGGTCTATAAGGGGGGTATAAGGTTACTGCCTATAAAATGACAGTTTAATGGGTGTCCACTCTCACCCACCGCTTCCTTGACTGGTGGAGGGTCGTTAGCCGAACGGGTTTGACAGGACTATAATTCTCCCTTCATTAAAAGTATTAATGATAAATACTAAGTAACTAAACACTTATAAATTCCCAATCTTAGTTACTTAGGAAAAATGTGAATTTGGTGCTAACCCATGAAATTTACACTTTGTACCTTACCAAGTCGTTAGTGGAGCGTGTGTGGTTAACCGGCACACTAACATGGACTAGTAAGAGTGGCGAAGGGTAACTTAATCTTTATCATAGATCGGTGGAGCATGTGTGGTTAACCGACACATCGATTAGGTGATAATATTAAGGGTACCAAGTGAATTTGCATGGTTATTCACACCCTGTTTTGTGATCCTCGGCATCCCAGTCACAAAATTTGAGAGGGCACAATCGAGATTGAAACATGCCATTGAAAAGTTCAATGAATCTCAAAAGATCTAGGAGTTTCAAAACCAATTAAAACCTAATAAATTATTTCGTTTTTCATGGTGGAAATTGGTGAATCGTCATTCGCCTACCTTCAAATATTTTATAGCTTGGATTACGGCATCCCTCTTCCAAGTTGTAAAATATTGTGTTGGGTCCTAGCCTTAATATTTCATATTGGGTGTTATATTAAGGACTTAAAAATCAACTAACTTGAATATCTCCCATATTAGATGTCTAGTTCAGACAACTATGATCTTCCCAAATCTGTTTCCTCCACCTCCTCCAATTATTCTCCCTAACCCACAAGTTCAAGGTCACTCAAGCCCTATTGGCAAGCAAAGTCTATGTGTGCTCACATCTTGGAGATGAAGTCACATATTTACAAGCCGGGAGAGTTGGGTGTCAAGGTCTTGAGGAAGTTGATTGTTAACTTGGTTCTTCAATCACTTTCTAAGACACATAGTGAGTTCCTTTAGAACTGCTATATGACAGACCATGAC